AGATGTTAGGCTTTGGCTCTGATACCATGTTAAGATTCCAACATAAAACCAATTGGCAATATGTGGAGTAGCCTAACATGTATTTAAACCATACCAAATGATATGAGGTAGGCGATGTGGGACTTTTAACAATAGATAATTCACTCATCCGCGAACTGTGAGATGACGTTTTTATCATGAGGTAGGGGTATCCTGCAGAAAAGTGCGTATTCAAGGTAGTTCTAAATATCCTCACCGAGGCCAGGCCCCCAAGGTACCCCCATTATAGGGTCTCCACTCTCCCAGCCTTTAGACCATGCATGACACTAGGGCCTTGTCGGTCTTTAGGCCAAAAGAGGAAGTTTATCATCTTGAGTGGTGGTTTCCGACCATACCGATGGGCTCATGGCCCTCACTACGGCAAATCGTACAATGTCACCCACTCCCTAAGGTTATCCCACTTGCCCCCAGGTATAGGGGGAACTATTATGTGCAAGGATTTGTGTACAGTTGTTATTTCAAACAATTGCATAAAGTAAGCATACAATAGTTATTAAAGCCAAGCAATAAATCATGTTATAAAAGCAAGAAAAGGGTGAAAGCGTAATTTCAAGTTTTTATTTCTTTAAACTAGTCCATCACTAAATGGGATAAACTCTCTAGCTTCCACAGTGGAGTCGCCATCTGTCGCCGCCGTCGAAAGGGGGGGTCGGAGATACGTGATGGTTTTCCTGACTCACGTTTTTTAATGGTGGTCAACATTCTTAAGATGTTCGATAACCGGAATGACCTTAAGAATGAGGTTTTCGAAAAGGGTTCTATGGAGTGACCACCGATGTTTTTACCGAAAACATCGGAAAAGGAAAAAAAAAAGAAGGCATTGGTTTAGAAAAACCAACTTTGGCTATTACAACCAGAGTCGAGTAAGGGAGTTAGTTACGTGTGGAGAAGGTATTAGCACCCCACAACGCCCCTTTCGGGTTCCCTATGATGGACTATTCTTAAAATAAAGACAATAAAATTATGCTTCTACCCTATTTATTTATTATAGAATTTAAATAACTATCTACATGATCCTAATATCTAATGCATACAAGAAAAACAGTAAAAGAAAGCAAGAGAAGGGATATGAAGGAGAACCTCCGAAGCGAGCTTTCATAAATGTTGAACTTGAGGATTCTTTTTGGCAGTCCTCGTACTTTACAGAGACACTCCTCCCTCGATAAAAAAAATAAAGGTGTCACCCTACCGAGGGTCGAATGTCTCAAAAAAAAAAGACATCCTTAACCGATTTCTACCTTAATGGAAATCAGAAAGCTCACTCGAACTCTGGAAAAATGCTCAGAGTCACTCTAAAGTGCCAAAAGGCTTCCTAGAGAGTGGTAGGAGTGAATGGTGTGTGAAAATGGATGGAATGAGGCTCCTATTTATAGGAATTCGTGCCCATCAATCCGGGAAGTCCTTCTCGATATTTGGGACCACCGTTCTCGACATTCGAAACTGTCGTCTCTCCTGACAAAGTTCGAGACGGCAGTCTCGGTCTTCTAGGCAAAATTTTCTTATTTTTCTGTACAAAAAGCTTTTCTATTTTAATATGGAGCCTAGTGAACAATCCTAGGGACCTTTAAGGCCTTGTCCATCTTCGAACGGAAGTCTTCTGCTCTTTATTTTAAGGCCGGACAAGATTTGAGGTATACAATGATGAAGGCAGAAGATGGGGTCACCTCACAACTAATTTGGTCGAAGCTATCAACTCAGTCTTGAAGAAAACAAGAAATCTACCAATCTCCTCCATAGTATTGGCCACATATACCAGATGCAACACCTTCTTCACTGTCGTCGCTGTCAAAATAGGCGGTCGTAGCGACGCGATAGTTTTTGTATGACTCGCGTTTTTTAAAGGAGGTGGTCAACGCCTTTGGTTGTCCGATAATCGGGCTAGACCTAAAGGAGAGGTTTTCGAAAAGGTTCGATGGAGTCGCCAACAATGTTTTGACCTTAAACACTGAAAAAGGTAAAAAGGCAGTAGTTTTAAAAAAAAACCAACTTTGACCATTATAACCAGAGTCGGGTAAGGGAGTTAGTTGCATGTGGGAAAGGTGTTAGCATCCCACAACGTCCCTTTTGGGTTCCCTATGATGGACTAGCTTATAAAATAAAGACTAAATAAATTACGCTTTTACCCTTATTTGTTTATTTTACTTGCAAAAATTAAATGTCTACATGATCCTACTGCCTAATGTACACAAGAAGAGTAGTAAATAAAAGTAGTAAAAAAGGGAGAGTGGATAAGAAACCTCCGAAGCAAACTTTGTATTGATTTCTTGAAGATTGAGGATGCTTTTTGGCTATCCCCTCACTCTACAATGCTGCTCACTCTTTTATCGGCAGGAAAATTGTAACTACAGAGTGTCTAAATAGAGCACTCGAACTCTGGAAATGCTTCAGAGAGGTTTAAAAAGAGTATCGGAGGATAAATTCAGGTGAAAGTTCTTGAAAACGAGGGGGATGAGACCCCTATTTATAGGAATTTGTGTCTGTCAGACCGGGACGACCATCTCGACCCTTGTTAGGCGAGACAACCGTCTCGCCAGTCAAGACGGCCGTCTCGCCACTTTAGAGTCGAGATGGTCATCTTGCCTTTGTATGGCGAGACGGCTGTCTGGCCAGTCGGGACGACTGTCTCGGGCTTCTGGGCAAAAATTCTCTTATTTTCTGTGTACAGGAAATCCTCCTATCCTAATTATGGAGTTTAAAGGCTTTGTCTATCTTCAAATGGAGGTCTTCTGGCTTTATTGTGAAGTTGGACAAGATTTGGGGTCTACATTCACAGAAGAGGGAAGCACATAACTGCAATGATAAGTGCTGGTCATGTCTATTATGAAAATGTCACCAAAGTCCTACAAGATGGTGATTCAAAATCAAATACCCATAGGATGGTTGAATTTGATAGAAATAGGACAAAATTCAGGGTGGAGGAAATGGTCAACCCAAGAGAAATACGTTCTCCAGGTACATTTGTTGTTAGGTTGGATGAACGATGGTATGATTAAGGGATGTTTCAAAAAATTCATATACCATGTTCTCATGTGTTAGCAACTTGCAAACATGCCCATCATGACTTCAACATGTAAATCAGTCCCCTATAGGTTGGATGTCGTCATGAAAGTGTATGACCATATGTTTGGGAAGTTAAGGCATGAACAATATTGACCACCATATGAAGGCCCACAAGTTTCGTCAAATCCAACCACGAGAAGAAGTTCAAAAGGTTGGCCCAAATCAACTAGAATTAGGATTGAGATGGACATCAAGGAAGGAGGACACCTACGAAAGTGCTCATACTGTAAAACACCAGGCACAAAAAAAATCATTGTCCTCACAACCCTGACATTAGAGGATCCATATCCCATCATTAATTGTATTAAAATTTTGTACTATCTTTCATCCATTCAATAAAAGTTCTATTCACTTACATCTTAATTTTTTTTTCTTTTACATTTTAAATATATATTTCATTTAGTCTAAACAAATTTTTACTATAAATTATTCTTTAACCATATAATAGTAACTTAAGAAAACAAAAATCTATAATAGGAGTGTGACTTTTTGGAACTTATGAGTGAGGTTGTGAGTGTGATAAAAATAAGATAATCATGTTTTCTTGTACTATTCCAAGTAATAAAGACAATGTACTGCATTTTTTAAGACATTAATATGAATTTAACAAATTATAAAAATCTTAACAGTAACACAACTTTATTTCTAAAAATGTTACAATACACAAACATAGTGAGGCTAACAATATTACACAACATCAAAAAGACTAATATATATTATCAATTGTGGTTAAACTTAGTACAATTAAACTTAATAACACTATTAAAAAATACACTTCAACATTTTATACTTCTTAATTAATTTATTTTTCTATCTCCTATTATTTAATAATTCTAATAAATTTAATAATACATTAAAAAAAACTATTTTACAACATTCAACAATACATATAACTCTTTTTAAAATTATAATTTCAAACTGCACAAATTTTAAATAAAAAAAATTATAGTTTTACATATTTTTTTATTCACAAATTTTTTATGTAACGTACTAAAGATTTCAAAATTATTAATACATTATTTTTCCTATTTATAACTTATTTTCATTTCTTTTATATATATATATATATATATTCTAAAATATTACATAACAAAAAAAAAATACATTTTAAAAATATAATTTTACATAAAAATATAATTTTATTTTATATACATATAATTTTTAAGATTTTTATTATCCTCCTAATTTATTATTAATTTTTAAAAAAATATTACAATATTAAATAAATAAAAAAATTAAAAAAATTTAACCATACAAATAAAATATAAATATAATATTTAATAATATATTTTAAAAGTATTATTTTACTACTCTCAACAATAAATCTAAATATATTATTAACCTAATAAATATATAAATCTTTTTAAAATTATAATTTAAATATAAATTTTAAATAAAACATTATAATATATATATATATATATATATATATTTTAATTAGTTTTTTTTAACAAAATAAACAAAAATTAAAAAAGAAAAGAAAAACAATTTAGAATTATGGAAAACCGAATTCTAAATAATTTTAAAAAAAGAAAAAACATGCAATCATGTTGATGTTTCTTGTATTAAAAAATAGAATTCTTAACTTTAAAAAATTGTACAAAACTACAATATATATTATTTGAGTAATTAAAAAACCAACATGTAGTATTTAAGTAATTAAAAAACGAATTTGCATCCAGAAAAAATTTCGTGAATTGTTTCTTCGTATCGTATTACTCACCAAACCATTTGTCTTCATCTGTCCTAACATGCTTTTTATTCCTATAAATATTGAAATCAACTTCACTCTGCGACTGAAGTAGCTACTTAATGTCGCAGTTATTGTTTTGAATATCTTCCTCATCATTTTTGTATCTACAAAGATTAAAATGGAAGGGATTGTTGGAAATCGTTTCAAAATGATTTTTCTGATGTTGTGTTTCACCAATTTGGGGATGGTTTTGGGTCATAGCCACATGAACGGGTTTGGGGAACAGCCACTGGCGAAGATAGCGATACACAAAACCGTTTTGGCTCTTCACAGTTCCGCTTCCATCACTGCAGTACCGTTTGTGCTGGGAATTAAGGTGCGTAACAGTACATCTTCTCTACCATCAGCTAACTTCTCTGATTTCAATTCTTCAAAAGAAACTGCATGATTGTTTGTTGAACGGTGGTTTCCTTTCTCAAAAAACGTCATAGTCCGTCGGTCAAAAATACGAAGGGAAGTTGGAACGTTTATTTATTCTTATATTTGTCTTTAATGGAGAAAATATCTACTTATTACAAAAAAATTTCATCAGCAATTATCTTTTTCTTTTGTATAATTTTCTTTTGAATTATTAGAATATATTGGATTTTGAGATTTTAATTTAGTTTAATTTTAATGATTAAAAATAATATTATTTATCTCTATTATTAGTTAAGTTATTTAACATATTCTGATAATAAAGTAAATTATGAACATAAAACTAATTCAACTTATCGATAGTTCATTACAAATACATATAATTAAATCGGGAAATCATCTCCAGTCTTTTTTTTTTAAATACGATCCAAACAAAAATATTTCTTATTTTTACTTATCCAAGTCACATCATCAATTTTGATCTGTTGAAAAATTCTCATTTTACCCATTTGGCCATCATTTACTATGTCTTTGTGAATCATATTTGGTTCAAGCAACCACGAGAATGGTTGTCTCGTAAATATTTGATTTAGAATTTATCGTTGGGTATTTTTTTTATTTATATATGGTTGCGTTGCAGGGCGAAGATACTGAACGGGTGACTGTAGAACTTGAGTCTCCAAAACCATCTGTTGATGACTGGGTTGGAGTTTTCTCTCCAGCAAACTTCAAGTAATTCTCAACCATCTAACTCAAACACATATTTAATATTAATTATATATGAAAAATATTATCAACACATACACAGTCTTTAAAATATATCTAGTTATCAAGTAAATTTTAAACAAAACACTGTTTAAGAGCATTTGGAAGAGTTTCATAATATAAATTGCTTTTCAATTATTTTAATAAGTTTCATAATCTGATTTACTAGAAAAATCATTTTTCTTATCGTTAGAAAAATCAATTTTAGTAACGGAACAAATCTATTCAATTTTTGGGCCGTATTTGATGAGAGAAACAAATTTATCTTAGTTTCGAACACCACAAAAATTTTGCTTGGGACTTTTCTCTGGTGTCACAAACAGTGACTGTCTTTCCTCTCAAATTTTAAAAATTTGTCCTTTATCTATGAAATAGATATATTTAAATTCTTGTTGCTTCGCCAACTGTGACAGAAATGTCTGTCAAAATCATTTATTAATTCTTTAAAAAATGATTGAAACTAAAAAATAAATCGAAATGTCTTTAAACTTATATGAAATATATGAAATCACCAGATTTTTCCGCTAGTTGTGTTTCTATTGTCGAGAACAACCAGAGGCTAAAAAGATCTTTAATTATTGCTAAGATCTCGTTTAAAGTTTTCCACCATTACCTTTTGTAAATCCTACTATACCACATAGGATATAAAACCCTTCATTTTATCTAATTTTTACTTGATCTCATTTTAAGATTTTATATAACTTTTTAGATCCCACAGTGTGATTTTTAATGCGAATATTGATAAATTTTAGCCTGCCACTGATTTTTGATGTCGATGAAATGAATTAATATTAAAAACATTACTAGTGTCTAGATATGCATTACGATTGAAAATAAAAATACATTTTCTGTTAAAAAGTAAATATTCAATTGTTTTATCAGTTGTAAAAAAAAATATTTTTATCGTAAGAATTTTTCCAGGCCAAAGTAAATTTGATAGAATTACTTTTTTATCATAATGAGACTAAACTGCATGTGTAAATTGTACAAAATTAAACATGCATAAACATTTTAATGAATAATTGAAATTTATAATATATGAAAGAAACAGGATTCTGGTAAGACTTTCCTTTTCATAATTGCCCTCCTTTGATTTATGTCCATAGTTCAGCGCTTGCTTCTCTCCCAGCTTTGGTATCGTATGCATACTCAAATAATCTGCACATACTGGGAAACAAGCGTGTAGTTTATTCCTAACTTTGATTGTTTTGCTCACCATTCTCTAAGAAAAAAGAATTTAAAGTTTGTTATGAGAGTTTGCTTGTGGTCTTTTAGTATTGGTGAGAAATATGAGTTAACTTAGCATGTTCTTGTGAGCATAGCAGTGAGAACATTTATATTATACCCACCAAAATGATTGCTGTAGAAAGAATAGCCATTAAACCTTGTAAGTAAAATTGATTTCATACACCTATTATATAGAAATGAGAACGAGGCATGCACAGGTAAGTCAAGCTGAAAATTCTAAAATGGGTAAAGGATGAAGGCCCGCATAAGTGCCTTGTATAGCAACACTTGCAGTGTAGACTTTTAAAGTGAATAACACATTTAAGAAAGCATAACATTGAGTCTACTTATATACATAAGCAGACCCAACAGAAGAAACTGGCATAGTAACAAGCTTGCGATGATGCTGCTGTGAAGAAGTGGTCAAAATGCAGCAAAACCACATCCTGTTTCATTGAATTTGCAGACAACAATTTTTCAAGCTCATGACCAGTGTGCCCTCATACAGATTATCATCTAACATGCACCAATGGATTTAATATGAGAAGTTCATGTAGGAATCCTATAGCCAATAATAAAATTTGCAAAGTTTAATCATGTGGAATGCATATGAATAAAGAGACATATTGTGTAGGTGACTGTTGAAGAAAAGCATGCAGTTGCTGAAATGCAGTCCCTCACCTGCTTCAAGCTCTGATGCCACTTTTACAATCTCTTTTAAACAAACTATCAAAACATATCACATCAGATATCAAACATCCTTTTAGCCGTGAAGAATCTTTATTAAAAAGGTTGTTTGTGTGATTAGTACTCCTGAAGAATCTTCGGACTAACTTTTTCAGGCCTTTTTTAGCCCCAACACCAATGCATGGTTGGTACAGTTTAGCTCTTAAACGTAGAAACTATTCATTTTTATCCCTACATGTGAACTTTCTAATCCATTTTAGAAAGTTCTAGTCCTTACACCTAGAAACCACTCCTTTTAGTCCCTCCACAATGCGCTAATCTAATATTTTTAGTCCCTACAACAATAAAGAACAGGACTACCATTAAATCAACATTGTAAAAACAAGTTTGACTCTCACACTAATTCACCTCAGAAATCAGATTCCTAGCCTCAACTGCTCCATACAACAAAATCAAACATAACACAATTCAATTGAAGGAATCCCTAACCCTAACCTAACAGTTCACAGAAGTAATGAATTAGAATGACTGAACTGCATGAAGGAATCAACCTTAGACAGAGGAGGGGGGCTCTTGTACTAATCATTCTTGCTCCTCTCTTTGAGGATCTCCTCAATCTCCTTGTAATACGACACCTTGGCGGAGCCACTCCCTCCACCGTCCTGGTGCTTGACCTTCTTGAACTCCTTGAGGAGGTTGCACCACTTATTGTTGTACATGGTGGGAGGGCAATCGAAACCCTTCTCCCTCATCTTGGCGCATATCAGTTCCCAGAGGTGCTTATTGGGCTTGGAGGTGTTGAAGAGCGCGTCCATATCGCGGCGGAGGCCAAATAAACTAGCGCGGTCCTGCACCAACCTCGAGGTCCTTGACGTTTCTCTCGCCGAGGATCATCGGTGGCGGGAGGTCGTTACCACCTCAATCATCATGTCGCGTGCGACTTGTGTGTGAACAAATATTTTAGTTGGTGCGCGACAACATGGGTTGGGGGTGCATGAATAAAAATTTCGTTGGGGGATAGAAATTCATATTTTATTATAATAATAAATAAATAATTTAAATTTGAATATATATATATATATATATATATTATTTTTTTAATCTATCCTTATGTTTAAGTTTTCTTTTTTATATTTAATGTTTTCAAAACCTAGATGAATTTTTTTTTTCACAATTTTAATCTTTATCTTTAATTGAAAAATTATGATATTTAATAATTTGATATTCAGGAATGAGGTTCAATTATTTAATAACTATTAAATTTTAATTTTATATAGATTACATGCTTTCTCTTTCTTAAGAATAAGATTATAAATTATATGATTCTAATTTTATACAGATTACTTGATTTCTCAAAAATAAAATTGTATGTTATATATGTTTCAAGTTTTTTTATCTTTATCTTTATTGATATGATATTTATATTTGTAAGATAAATTTTAATTTTACATAAATCCTAGAATTTGGATTAGTTAAATTTTCCTCGTTTATTTTCACAAGTTAAAACATTTTTATATACATTTATTATGTAAAAAACATATTTAGATTTTTAGTATTTTATTTTTGGATGATTCTTTTTTACAAGGTTTTCCTATACATACAAATTAATATTTGTACGTGTCTTTAGTTATTTAAATGTTTAATTTCAAAATAATTTCTTAATATTATTTATAATATGTATCATATAAAATAATAATATATTATAAAAGGTTGTCAAAATAAGTCTAGCGTATGATTAAAAAATCTAAAAAAAAAGACTGTCAAGTAAAGAAAAAAATTACAACCTAAATATTTTTATCCAACACATTTAACTTCTGTTTAAATATTCCCAAATCAGACGGCATAATAAATTTATAGATCGAATTGTTATATAACATAATAATTATACTTTTGAAAACATAAAATAATATTATTTATTAAAACATATAGAATATTATAATTTATATTTTAAATCTGTAATATTAAAATTATTTTATTATATAACTAATTTTAATTTTGTTTTATTTTAATTTAAAATTATTATTTTTCATTAGTTCATCGACATGCCCATACACCGGTGGCGTTGGTTGGGTAGAGGAACCATACATATGCACAGCCCCAATAAAGGTAATTAATGCAAATGTACATGGTTAAGTTACAGATTGACCAACAAATTAACAATGATGTATTACTCATGTTAATTGTTTGAATATGTGTATCAGTACAAGTATGCAAATGATTCTAATCCAGAATATAAAAAGACTGGGAAAGCTATTCTGAAGTTCCAGTTAATCAATCAACGTGCAGATTTCTCCTTTGCACTATTTTCTGGTGGATTATCAGATGTAAGCTATTTTTCCTAATCCCATGCATATTGGATATCTCTTCAACTTCTTTTTACTTATCTACACTACAAATTCTATGCTTATTTGTTGAGAACAAATTATTCAATCCTTTACTGATTAGTATTCATCTGATTGTACATTGCAGCCTAGACTTGTGGCAGTTTCCAACTCCATATCATTTGCAAATCCTAAGGCTCCTGTGTATCCACGCCTTGCTCTAGGAAAGTCTTGGGATGAAGTAAGTTTTTCTACTGGCTAAAGACCCTAGGTTTTATGTTTGTCTAATTCATTGTATTCACCACAATTCAAAATTATCTTAATATTCAAACCACTTAGGAAGTTTAATTTTGATAAGCATCCCCATCATGCCAGGACCAAACAAATTTTTAAGTAAGCACTGTTTTTTATCTGCTCGCATTACATAATTGGAATTGATGCTGAGGTTTTAAACGTTTATTAACTATATTGAAATTGACTCTATATATGGATTTTATCTTTTAACCGTTGTTATGAAATTGTTTTATTGGAAATTGCTGCATGAATTGTCTTACAATACAGATGACAATTACATGGACAAGTGGATATGATATAAATGAAGCTGTGCCTTTTGTTGAGTGGGGTCTTCCAGAAGGAAGTCAAACACGATCTCCTGCTGGAACATTGACATTTAATCGTAACAGCATGTGCGGTATGAAATATTTCCTTCTGCTTAGAATTGAACAAAATTGCTTGTTTATTACAAAGGTCTAAGTTTAGTGGAAACTCAACAATGACCTGGAAAATTGCTTCATTTGGAAACACAATACTACAATTATCCCATTAGGTGAGGGTCAATCTCATGAATAGTATCGAATCATTAAACAAGGTTAAAAAGCAAGTTTTCAAAAATGTTATTCAGTATCAAATACTCTTAATAATTTCTTGATTGTTCATCTTAACATCTTTGCCCCCCTTTTCACATGGTTTACTGTAATCCCCCCTACTAGTGTGTTTCCTATGAACTTCTTTCCATATATGTACAAATAAACTTAACCAATTTTCTGTCCTTTTCCAAAATTGGTACCACACTAATATTTTCTCTAGAATACAACATATCAAGTCCTATTTTGTATGGTCTCACATTCATCTTAACATTCTCATTTATACTACATCTAAATTTTTTGCTTGTTTTACCTTTAAAGCCCAACCATACATGTATAGGTCAAGTATGTTAATCAAGAAGCATAGTAAGAATTGCTACTGGTTTACTTTATTTAAAATGGATATCAATGTGTAATAATTATACTGGGATATTAACCTAGATATGCAGCTTAATTAAGATATTTTGTTATTATACAGGTGAACCTGCACGAACTGTTGGCTGGCGTGATCCTGGTTTTATACACACAAGTTTCCTAAAAGATTTGTGGCCAAATTTTAGGTGCGTAAGAAACTATCCTTTTATGTTTATGTCACTGTTCTAAATTGTTTTATTTTGTTCTGAACGGTTTAGCTTTACTCCTTTACTTAGGTACACATACAGGTTGGGACATAAGTTGGCTGATGGTTCTTACGTATGGAGTAAGAAGTATTCGTTCAAGGCATCCCCATATCCTGGTCAAAACTCTTTGCAACGTGTTATCATATTTGGTGACATGGGAAAGGTAGTAGCATTAATAATTTCAATTTTTATAATGATAAAAAGAATGATCATCTCCCAAGAAAATGGAATGGAAATGGATAATTTATTTTGCAATTTTTAAATGAAATTACACTTATAATCATGATTAATGAAATACGGAAAACATATTTTTGATTACATGTTAGGCTGAGCGTGATGGTTCAAATGAATATGCGAATTATCAACCTGGTTCACTGAACACCACTGACCAACTCATCAAGGATTTGAACAATTATGACATTGTTTTCCACATAGGAGATATGCCTTATGCAAATGGATACATTTCTCAGTGGGATCAATTCACAGCTCAAGTGCAAATAATTTCATCAACAGTACCGTACATGATTGCAAGGTTCTTTGGTTACAACTATTTCATGTCATTGACATTTAAACAAAATATTTGCATCTTATTAGACTGAAAATATTTGGTTCATTCATATTGTAGTGGAAATCATGAACGTGATTGGCCAAACACAGGATCATTTTATGATACTCCAGATTCAGGTGGAGAATGTGGTGTTCCTGCAGAAACCATGTACTATTTTCCTGCTGAAAATAGAGCCAAATTCTGGTATGCTACATTAATCTAAATACAAATGATTCATTAAACTTCATTAAGTAATATATTCTTCTCTAATTTAAACGTGTCATATCACATTGCCGAAGATGGTGAATATTGTCTTAACCCATTGTTTCTATAACTTATTCTTATCAACAGAAGACACTACTTCATCCATTATTAATTTTTAGAGCTAATAAACTATAACATTTTTTACTTGTAATTTGATTGTAACAATTAAGATTTAGGACTCACTTTTACTCTTTTTGGTTTCTAATAAATGATGAAAATTGGAAATATGTAGGTATAAAGCAGATTACGGCCTATTTCGCTTTTGCATAGCAGATAGTGAGCATGACTGGAGAGAAGGATCAGAACAATACAAATTCATTGAACATTGTCTTGCAACAGTAGATAGAAAACATCAACCGTGGCTAATCTTTTCAGCTCACCGTCCCCTTGGGTACTCCTCTAACCTTTGGTATGGAATGGAAGGCTCATTTGAAGAGCCAATGGGAAGGGAAAGTTTGCAGAAGCTTTGGCAAAAATACAAAGTAGACATTGCATTTTATGGTCACGTCCATAACTATGAAAGAATATGTCCCATTTACCAGGTATTTATATATAATAATGCATATAGCTAGACTCTGTTTCTCCTTTCAATTTAACATTGTTTTATCTAATTATCTAAATGCACTTGATGCAGAATCAATGTGTGAATTCAGAAAAGCATCATTACTCTGGCACTGTGAATGGAACAATTCATGTTGTTGTTGGTGGAGGGGGAAGTCACTTGTCTGACTTCACCTCAGCACCCCCTATCTGGAGTATTTATAGAGACCGTGACTATGGATTTGGCAAACTAACGGCATTCAATCATTCATATCTCTTGTTTGAGTACAAGAAAAGTAGTGATGGAAAGGTCTACGACTCCTTTACCATTTCAAGAGACTACAAAGATGTTCTAGCTTGTGTGCACGATGGTTGTGAGAAAACCACTCTAGCAACTTGAGTTATGTCCATTGTAGACTCGGTATGGTCTCGAATGAAATAAAACATTGCCAAAATAAATAAATGATTAGTTTATTTACATCCATGACTTGATATGAATAATATTATAAAATTATAACATCAATATGAAATCACATTTTTTTAATTAGATTAAACTCATCAATGTTTCATAATTCAAAAAGTAATTGATAAGACACAACTATAATGATCAATTGACAAATGGTTCCAAATTTGGCATGTCTCCGTCAGATCAATTAACATACATACCTGCAAAATAGTTAAAACTTTTTTTAAAGTTGTAATAGTTCAATTTTTTTTAATATATATAAATAATTCACTATGCTGAAGTTTCTAAAGGTTCACAATCAGCTGAGAATTAATCTCAATCTATAAGTTGTGTTAACCTTTCATGTCCATAGGACTTTCACAATTTCTGAATAGAAAGCACTTTGAATGCCTAAGTTTGCGGCAGAGCATCCTACAATAACAACCCTATGATCACAAAAATTGCCTGTAGCAGACTCTGACTGTCCTTTAGAACATCCATCTGTATTACCCTTGAACCAGTTGCGTTTAAAAAGAATCCAAGAAACTTGCATAAATATTAATCCTTTGATGACTAATTATAGCATTTTTGAAATGAATTCTATTCCTAGTTATCCAAATTTCACCAACAGTATACATTATAGTTGCCATCAAAGTATTCCTGGCCTGATCACTCCTAGCTCTTGAGAAAACACCAAATATAGCAGATAATTCTGTATTATCCAAACTAATTCTGCTTATATTGCTTGGCCACTCCTAAAACTTCCTTGCTTGTTTACAACTAAAGAAAAGATGTTCAATAGCTTCTTCTTTCTCAGTACAGTTTATTACGACTATAACACCTCTTTCTCAGATTTTCATAACAAGGCAATTTATCAAATATTATATGACTTTGATGAAAGGACTTGTGACCTTCTTTTCAGCTAAGGATTCCATCGTTAGAGAAATTCCATCTTAGTGTATCTTCATACTAACCATAAGGGCTTACTAATTTATTTGTTTTCTTCCATAATACCTTGTCATTTCTATTAAGATATATTAGGTGTTAGAAATTTTGCTGCCTAGCATTCTTAAAGCAACTACTTGATGAAGAATCGACGAAGATTTGATGAATCCTACTCTCTTATGACACGATTGAAGATATAATAGAATCACCATGTTTGTATAAGGTTCTTCTATAATGTTTTATATTGACTTGGTCTTAGAAAGTTTCTTAACATTGATTTTGAAGATTTTTTTTACAAAAGAAACTTTTACTATGATAAAAAAGTAATTAATAGGTTAGAATGTTATTGGGATATTTTTAATAGATTAAAATATTAAATTAATCCATTAAAATAACTTAAAATCATAAGTGGTCGTTGAGGTTTAATTTTAATATATTAAAATGAGTTTTTAATCGATTAAAATATTTTTAATTATTTTTTAAGATTTTGATATTTGCATTTTAATATGATAAAATGGTTTTAATAAATTAAATAGTCCATGTTTTAAAGGGTGATTTTTTAATCTCACTATTTTAATAAACTATTTTAATATATTAAAAGAATTTTTAATATATTAGAATGCTTTGGACTTTAAAAGTGATTTTTTTAGTCTTGTTGATTGAATCAAGTAGATGGATTTTAAAAGGAATTTTAGAATTCTCTCCTTTAATGGATTAAAATGATTTTAATTTGTTAAAGCTTATTTTCAAAAGTTTTTGTTGTTCTATTTTAATCTATTAAAATAAATATTTAATTGATTAATTTCATGATTAAGTGAAATTAACATCTTAAAACGCATTTTCAGTCTACTAAAATTAATAATTCAATTTTATATAACTCTTTCCTTTCTCATTCACTTAACACACTATTTTGTTGAATATTTTAAAAATCATATTGCTTACTTTGAGAGAGTATTTGCTTGCACTTTTGAAATGTTTTTGGAGGCATTCTTGTTTGAATTCTAAGATCAAGCATTGGTGTTAGAGAGAAACTTGGTTGTTTTCCTAAATACACTAATATTTTGTATTAGTTGATTTTGAGGTGATATATTTTCATTTGTATTTTGTTAATCATGGTTTGTACTGAAATTTCTAAAAGGAATTTTTGGATCTTAGCTTAGTGATGAGGTGTTTGATTTTGAAGGGTGTTTTTCTTGTAAGGTTAAAGAATGCTTTTCTTGGATACATAATATTATTATAAGAATTATGTTATTTTTAGTGGAACACTTAGCTGGTGTGACTAAAGATTAGATGTAGTTCTTAATTAAGAATCTAAACCCACCTAGGTCATGACTTAAATGCGTCGAATAAAGATATGTATGATTCAATTTAGGTCGACATATCAAAATAAGCCTATTTTGACACATTAGATAAATCAAATAATAAAATATTTATAATTATGAGTATTAATTATTTATAAATACTAAAAATAATAGTAATATACCCAATGATAAAAAAAAGAAGTGATTTCCACACAATTATTCATAAATTATTATATATATATATATATATATATATATATATATATATATATATATATATATATATATATATATATATATATATATATATATATATATACTCATGGAACAGGATCAATCAATAAAATATGTAAGTAATATATAAAATCGATGCAAAATGTATTTTCATGTTACTTATTCATGTACAATTTTATCAATATTTTTACACCCGTAAATAATTAAGTATTCTTCTCCCTTTTTTTTATATATATCTCAAAAAAAATAATTTAAATATTTTCTCCTTATTTTCCCTTTTTAGTGAAGAAATTTCTTCCTATAAAATACAAATGGTAACTTAAACAGTCGGATATGATTTAATCGAATATATATATATATATATATATATATATATATATATATATATATATATATATATATATATATATATTATTCCATCTAAGGAGGAGAGTGTCTCGGTTTCATGTCCGTTATGATAATATTGTTATAATAAATTCCATATTCGAGATATTGTTTGTTTGGAGCTCTAGTCCGTTACGATCTTGTTCTTAAAATGCACCTCAATGAGTTAAAAAATGAGAGTGTATATAAACTTATATTTTCTCTCCACTCTATCACAATAAAAATAAAAAATATTTTTATTTTTGATGAAATTAAAAAGAATTCTTTTTATACAATATTATAGATATAGATGATAATTTATTTCCGTTTTTTAACGTTTTATTTTTATTTTATTTGACTAGATAAAATAAGATATTAATATATTTTAAACATTATCAACAAATTTTATAATAAAACAAACCGAGTAAAGACTGTATTTCCATTTGTTAGTTAATATTAAAGTATAGTAAAATATAACATTAAAATAATAAAATAAGTAATATAAATAGTGTTTATTAATTAAAATGAAGCTTATTCTGAGCTAGCTTTGCCTATGCTTTTATTCCGCTGGGGAATGAGTTTTCTGATTATTTTGCCTTTTTCTCGCGTTTTTATCTCTTTTTTCGCGATTTTGAAATTTGGCTTTCTTTATTTTGGATAATGCGTGCGCATTTTTACATTTCAATTTCTTTTATGCACACACGCTTTTTCTTCTTTTTTGATTATCCGCTAAGGATGAAAAGATTTTCTTCTTTTTCTATTTTCTTCTTCTCTTTTTTTTTTGCGATCCACCAAGGAGTTCGTTGGATTCCTAGGGGTCCAACTTTGATTTGATTTTTATAACGGAGTCTTGGCTTCTGGCTTTGTGAAGCTCTTTATTGAACTGGAGGATGAGAATTTTCTTGTTTTCCTCATTTTGTAGATTTTTCTGAGATGCTCTACTTGGGGATTTTTATTCAACCTTTTTCTGTTGTGGCCTCTATTGGGTAATGAAAGGTTTTTCTTTTCTTTCTATTTTTGTTAAACCCCAGGGGATATGGAGACTTTGACTTCATATGTTCTTTGGTTGATTTTTATTCTCCTTTTGAAATAGCGGAGATTCTGGATGAATGTGCTCGATGACTCATGTGGTGATGAAGCTGAGTCGTGAGGTAATCTTTTTGTTTTGCCTCTGGATTAGGCAAGGATCCGCTTGGGGATGATCAAGCCTTTCTGTTGGCTTTTTTATGTTGATGGCTTCCTTTTTCTTGGATGGAAGGATGGTGGTTGGAGCTTCGAATGACTCATGTGATGATGCTGAGTCATGGAGTAATTTTTGTTTTGCCTTTGGAGTAGGCAAGGATCCGTTTAGGGATCATCGAGCCTTTCCGTTGGCCTTTTTCTGGTACACCTTCTTTTATTGGGGTAGAAGGAGAATGATTGTGAAGCACTTGGTGGATTTGATGAAGACATATTGAGTTGATATAGTTTAGTTTGTGGGTGTGTAGATGAATAGGTTAGAAGTTTAGAACTTAATCTCTTGATAGGCCAATAAATCTTGTGATAAGCGCCTTAAAATGATGCATCTCATTGAAATCATTTTTCTGCATGAAAAACTAACATTTAAGCATTAAACGAACAAACTAAGTTTTTCAATCTGTTGAAAAGAAATTTCAATCTGTTAAAATCACTTAACATAAGAAATGTTCTTATAGATTCGAAATTTCAATTGGTTGAATCGCAGAATCAACAGGTTAAAATGTCTTAATGATTTTTCATGTATTAAAAGTTTCGCATTTTCAATCTGTTGAAATGTTTTTTAATCTGTTGAAACAGAGAGACCATTTTTTTCAGTCTAAGTGTTTTTCAAAACTTCAATCTGTTGAAATACTTTTTCAATCTGTTAAAACAGAGAGACTATTTTTCTGACTAAGAGTCTACAGGATTTCAATTTGTTGAAAGGTTTTTTAATCGATTGAAACAGAGAGTTGTCATACTTCATTAAGCTATTTCAATCCATTGAAAACACGAATCAATCGATTGAATGAAGTTTTAAATGAAATCAATCGATTGAAACGTCGTTTTAATCGATTGAAATACATTCTGATCGATCATAATTTGATTCTGATCGAT